ATGGCCTTTAACTCAAACCATTCTGGGTTTCCGTGTTTCAAACCAGGTAGCTGGATGGGAACTGGAAAAGGGGAACTGAGATGAGGGGAGGGTACAAGAGACAGTAACAAATACAGCGATGGCACAGATGAGGTGGACACAGAGAGGAGCATCTCTTTTATGGGGCCAAGTTAACTCTCTGCATGTGAGGGTCCTTTTGACAGTGGATGTTCAACATTGCAGAAATGTTTGAGTCAGGGTGGTTTCCAGGAGCTAAGGCTCCCTGTGGACACAGACGGGGAACAATCCGGGTTTTGACCTCATTTGTGTTAACAGAAGGGATTCTCTGCTATGTGATGAAAGCAAAAGTACTCTAAGCCTTTCTCCATCCAGGTCCCTCATTACAGGGCAAACCTCTCTACTGCTTGGCCTGTTTTGGAGGGGTCACTCAGAGCATCTCTGCTGAGAGCTCCTTTGGTGACATCAGGAAAGGAGGGAACTGCAGCCCACTGCAGAGATGCGGCAGCAAGGACACATCTGCAGCGTGGGGCATTTCTTGGCAAGGGATCCCAAATTCATCCATGTAAGATTTTACTTGCAGATCCCTCTGGGGAGCAGGACTGAAAGAGATGCTGTGATCCCTGGCTCGAGACTTGACTTTCTGCTGAATTCAGCTGACAGAGGAGATGATGGACACTAATGGGAGCTGCTGTCATGCACTTTATCGGCCTGTCAGCGCAGCAGCATGGGGGTTTCAGATGCTGACTGCCAAATGAAAAATCTTTTATGCCCAAGAAAGAAGATGCTTTTTGTAAAACAACCTTTGCGTCACACAAACCATGAGCTGAAAAGCATTCAGGACTATTTCTGCTTGCAGATACTGAGATAAAACTTGATCCTGAATAGATGAGACTGGGAGGTAACGTGTGCAGTGTCCTATTCCCATGAGCTACCCTGAGCAAATATCCACCTCCCTTCTGCCATCCCAGCACGGTGCCAGCACCCCAGCACACAGAGAAAGCGCTGATAAACTGGGAAAGGATGGTGCCAATTACCGAGACTCGGGGATTTCATGATGAGTGATTACTGAAGTGCCTGCAGCCCAGCAATAGATGGGAATAAGATCAGGGAATTCCTCAGCAAAGGTGTAATTTATTAGCAGAGGCTGAACCCTTAAAGAATTCCAGATTGAGGCTGGGATACTCTGGTGCTGGTGCCTCGTGGCAGTGCAGGATGGTCACCCACGTGTCTCCCAAAGGCCCAAGGTGAGTGGAGGAGGAACAGCAGCACATCTCTGCCCCTGGGAGGCTCCTGCCCTCAGCCATGGCCAGCTCTGTCTGTCAGTATTGATCAGGCTGGCAGCAGCCACCTCCTCTCCATCCACCTGCAAATCCAGACATTTCCAGAGGAATGCACATAGGCATCATCTGCATCCCGGCAGGGAAAGTCTCCTCTCCAGCTTGGCTGGCTTTTGGGGACATTTGCTTGTCAGCTTGGTGGGTGAGTCTGGAGCGGGGACACATCCCCGGTAGGGGCACAGAAGGAACACTGGGTGACTCTCCACTGGTGGCGTGCTGACAAGGGTTTGCATAGAAGCAGGGCAGAGATTTATGGGGCCGGTTCTGCCAAACACTTGTGATCCCACAAAAATGTAGCATCGTGTCCCACAGAGCCTGGCAGGATCGCACATGTGTTCCCTTCCAATTGTATGTGGCGGGACATTTATTCTCTCCCTTGTGACCTGATGGTCAATGACTTTTATTTCTCGAGCTTGCCTGTTTAATTAAGGAGTTGCTTCTCGCCCAGAGTATGGGATAAGCCCAAATGAAAGCAGCATGCTTGGGAGGCTGAAATAAAACCCCAAATGTCAGCTCACCCGCTGGGCGAGTTATTAAAGCTGACTGAAGTGGTTGCATTATGGTGGCCATGGGTTGCCCCGCAGAACGAGCACTATTGTGGGTGAAAACTACTTTTTTGACTTTTCTCAAGTTGCTTTTCACATTTCTCCTAAATAAGCCTTTATGCTTTGTCTAAACAGCTGAAGCTGATGTTTAATAAAACCCTGAACTGTGCTTTGTCCAGGCACTTTCTATGCTGGGTGGCTTCAGTAAACACTTTAAATTTTGAAAGGGAAATAATTGCTAAACTTTCACCAAGGCACTACATGCTGAGGTTACTTAACACCCTGGTATCAGTACAAATTACCAAACTGGAGGTGGCATTTCATGTGGATGGAGGAGCTCTAAAGCAGTTGGCAATCAACACCAAAGGATTACTGAGTAGCTAATTTGCATGTGTAAATTTCCTGTTAGAAGCAAGATAATCTACAAGCCTCTGCTGATAGAAAGGATGTCCCTCCTGAGCAGCTGCCAGAGGGTTTCTGATTGTGGATTGTGAGTGGTTTAGTATCTCCCTGCCCATGGAGTGACTGTTTCCCTCCTGGACCAGGTGTCCTGGAGCAGCACTGCTCTCCCCATCGCCCCAAACACTGTCAGTAAAGTGCTGATTGTGCAAACTGGACAGCAACCACTGCGAAAACATCTGACCTGCAGATGTAACACAGTCATGAAAATAAGAAGACGTGGGCTTGGACAAGGCGTTGAGGTCATACCTTTGGTATAAAATCATATTTGGTAAAAAAAGGGGGTTTTTTGGTATGCTTTCCAAGAAATAAAAATACTGCTTTTTTGACCTGACTGTTGCAGTTTAATTTTTGTTCATGCTGCTAGAAATTCCCGTAGTTTTAACACAGGGATTGGAAGAAGGAAAAGAAAGAGGAAGCTTTTAGTTGCTTGATTCTTCAAGGGGGGAAAAAAAAAAAAATCTGATTTTTGTTCCCAGATACTGAATTTTTTTTTTTTTTTTTAAATACAAAGCATTTCTTGAATTATATCAAGGATTTTTTTAGCTGTTTGGTGAAAAATGGGGAAACTACGAAAAAAAAATCGAAAGAGGCCATTTTAGCATTTCTGATCAAATGATGGGTATTCCCTGACCCTTCCAACAAAATCTCTGCCCCAGCAGCAAAAAGCTGCTTCCTGGGGAGTGACCCCCAGGTCCTCCCATGGGAGGAGGACCCCGTGGGCCAGGCACGGGCAGCGCAGGGGAGTAAGAAGGGGAGAAGTCTTACAGCACCACGAGGCTGCTGAGGTTCTGGAAGGCGTAATCGGGGATGTGCCAGATCTGGTTGAGCGCCAGGGTCATGGCTTGCAGCGCTGGCAGGTGGTTCAGGGCTCGGACGGGGATCTCCGTCAGGGCGTTATCGTCCAGCCACAGGTGACGCAGAGAGAGCAGCCCCTCAAAGCTCTTCTCGGGCACCACGGAGATGAGATTGGCATCCAGGCGTCTGAGGGGGGAAAGAAACAGGGTGGGGATCAGTGAGAGAGCGATCTCTCATCGCTCTCCCTGCCCGCAGCGTTGTGCAAAGAGAGCGACGCCCGAGGGAGATTGGATTAGGCTGTAAATAGTGATTAACAAAAGAAGGCATCAGTTCGAGGCTCCTGCCTCTGCTTGGAGATGTCTGACCACCTTACTGATGGCCCTTTGGTGCTGCCAGATGGATGGCAGCTTCTGAAACACGGTGGTTGGGCTAAGTCCTTCCATGTGGGCCCCCCAGATGGGCACTGGCCAGCTGTGGTTTGCAGCCACCCCCTGCTTTAAAACCGAGCATCAAAGCTGCATCCCCCGGGGCTGGGCTTGCCAGGATCTTGCCAGTGGATCTGCCTGAGCAATCTACGGAGGCACAGCCCAGTTTGGGGTACCCCACAGCCCGCTCACCCCCCCCGGGGCCCTGCGGGACAGCCAAACCGTGCCCGCCAGAGCCCCCGTTCCAGAAGAGAAGGATTTGTCTGGAAATGTGGGAGATGTGGCAAAACCCCGCTTGGGGTTCCAGCAGCACCTGAGCAGAACGCTCAGAGGTACCTGCAAAGGCTCTGTGGAGCAGTCAGGCCCTTTGTCATGGTGCAGAAATTAAACCCGTGCTCTCGTGTTGCACAAGTTTGGGCCTTTCTTCCCCCTTCGTTTGCCAATTCCTTTTTTTTTTTTTTTTTAATATTTTTAATCATGATGAAAACCTTAAGGCGGTTGAATTTGAGGTTTAATTTGGTGAGAAACTTTAATTTTCAAGACTTGCTTTTGCTTCAAAATAGAAGGAGAAGCCAAAAAATATTAAGCTTATTACGAAAAAAAAAAAAAGTTTAAAAATTATGTTAGGAAATCATCTCTCTAAAGATCTCTTATTGCAACAATGGTGAGCAGGATACAATGTGTTATCTGTAGATTTTAAAACCAAAATATAAGAGGAAAACACTTCACATTTGGATGAAATACCAGGAAACAATTATACCAAGGAAAAAGCAAATTTTAATTTCCATCAGCCAACGGAGCTTATTTTATTTTTCCAAGCTATCTAAAGGAAAGATCTCTGAATTCAGATTGCAAAGAGAAAGCACTTTGTCTCTTATCAAAGCATGAGAGAAGGAAGTTAACAGAGCTGTCATGGCCTAGCCCTCAACTCAACAATCCTCCAAAAAGGAGTGTGGTAAACAAATTAATATTCTTGACTATAGTTACCTATAGTGTATAAAGTAATATTTTTGATTAAAGTTGAACACTGGAGCAAACCTCCAGACACTGTTACACTGTGATTCTATTTTCCCAGGTTCCACTACTCTTGCACTGCCACGAAGTGACATTTTCTGGTGCAAGGCTGTTCAGCTGAGAGTTTCTCAGCCAGCTCTGTTGATTCCTCTGTGGATGAGAAAAGCACATCACACCCAAATCTCACTTCCACTGCCACAGGATTTGCATCTTTGCTCAGAGGGCTGACATAAGACAATGAACTGTGAATTTTCCTGTCGAAGAGGGTGGGCATGTTTCAAGTTCTGCCTCAATTTACCAGCTGTCCCCAAGACTGCAATCTTGTCAGCAAATAGCATCATTCATCTTTCTGAGACAACAAACCCGACGAGTAAAGAGCGGAAAAGCAAACCCTGCAGCAGCTCAAGGTAAGATCAAAGCTATTTGAAAACTTCCATGAAAATGTTTTAGGACAAACAAGAACTCTCTGACCAAAATTGTGTAGGAAATGTTAATCTTTTCTTATTTTTTCCCACTTCTTCCTCAGCATAAGAAGTCTGTTAGGTTTTGGCATCATAATCTGCTAAAAAAAAACCCCAAAAAACCAACAAAGAAGCAGCATTGCTTACTTTTCCTGCAGACATTCTTTCATCCAAATCCCTATATGTTTACTGAAAATTGTTTTAAAGCGAACGCTCAGTTTCAAGTTTAATTAATTAAAGACCAGACAATGAAAATATCCGCAGAGAACAGTTACCATTTCTCAAAACCAAACTAAGCTTTCAGAAATGGAGATGCCAAAGCAGAGCCAAAGACTGGTGCACCAGGCTGAGCTGGGACAGGGACAGGGACAGGAGAGCAAGGTGGAGCCCATGGCTGTCTGGTTTTATGTCCCACCTTTTTCATGAACTCTTGGGTGAAGAGATGACCCCCAAGGGAGTTTGTTTTCAGTGTGACAGTGCCCCAGGAGCTGGGGAAACCATTAATGTTGATGGCTTTGCTCCAGGGATGTTTAGCATTCTCTCAGGAAAGATCCTTTTTCCCCCAGTCCATCCTTATGAAAAGTGCCAGTGAGGCAGCTTGGGGGATTTTTTTAAGGGACACTTCCCTCTGGTTAGTACAGGGGCAATAACTTTGATGACTTGCTGCAGCTCCAAGCCAGACTCTGCTCCATCTCAAAACCTTGTTGGCAGTGAGAGGTCACTCAGGTGAGCCCCAGCTCTCCTGCTCCTCAGCTCTGCAGGAGCTGCCTGGTGGCAACGTTGTGAGTTGTGAACATGTGGCCACTGCCCACGAGCCACCCTCTGGGGTCACATGCTTGGGAGGTCTTGGGGAGCTCCAGCCACAGAATTACTGTCTTAATCTGCTTCAGAGTGTGGAGATCAGAGCCCAGACAGATTCCTCAGGGGAGTGGCAGGGAGACCTTCTGCTGGTTGTGATGTGCTGGGCCTGAGCAGCCTCAGAAGCAGCAGCCTGCTTGGACCTCAGCACAGCACGATGCACCTACCTGGAGCCAGGGAAGTTAAAATTCAGAACAAGGAAGTTACAGGTGAGGGCATTTCATGTGCAGCATCATGAGCAGGACTCTTTATGTGCCCTTGCAGCATTGCTGAGGGGATAGGGAACATGGGTTCAGTGACAGCTGCATTCCTGGCACCAGAAGGTCTCTGGGATGTTTAATTGCTCCTCAGGGAGCTGCTGGCTCTTTCTGGAATAGAGGTGCATTCTTTCTAATAAAAGCTGTGCATGTGGGGATTGCTAATTGCTATGGCTTTCAGACAGCTCTCTACTCTCTTCTGGAAGCAGTAAAGCTGAAGTTCTTGGCACGGAGCTGTTGGTAATTATATCAATTATACTAAACAAAAACCAACCCAACAGTTCTCTCCTTTCTTCAGTGTGTGACTCTGGCTCTGTAAGTGTTTTGTGTTATGATTTATACCTGAGATAATTGGGCCGATTAGTGGGTAAATGGGACAGTGCAGGCTGGGGCTGGCTCCTCACCTTCCACGGAGATGTTTTAATCTTTCTTTCACCAAATCACTCAGTTGGCTTTCCCTGCAAGCATTAACCCGTTGGCTGCTCACGGAGGAAGACGCCTCTTTCCCGGAGCTGCTGGAGGGCTTAGGAGTGGGACTTCATCCCACACCTGCTGTCAGACAGTGCTGTG